GTAAAAACATTCAAAGAATGGGACCCTACAGGGTGGCTGGATACATTATGGTTGCTATTTTCAGTCATCTTGGATGAACGATTTCTTGTTGTCGTGTTGGGTGTTTGCAGTTGAGATGATGTGCTTCACAGCTGAAAGAGAAAGAGATAATAACATGTAAAATCAAACAGTTCAGTTAGTGGAATCTGTTATGAAAGAGAAAAGTCATTTCTGATTTTTTACGATTCCTTTTTTTCTTTACGAGGAATGGCTCAGCACAAATCTGATTTGTCTGTTCTTGTTCAGTAATAGGATATAGCTACTGGTCTATTTAGTATAGCTACAGTAAATGGAGTGATTCGTATATTTCTACGCTATATTCAACATGCCACATTCACACACATTCTATGCTTTGAAGTGTTTTCTAACTACCATTCACACTCCAATGGATGCATCAGAGATATCCTGCCACAAGGATATTTTGCATGCAAACTAGGGTGAGCCACCAACCACCAACCTTCTGATCAGTAGATGACCTGCTCTACCTCCTGAGCTACAGCCACTGTATGAAAGTGTTGAACCCCTTATTTCTTTCTTGTTTTCTAGTAAAATTGGAAATACAGATCTGGTACATTTATTTTCTTTATTTTTCACAGTCTGAACTCTCTTAGCTTTCTTGTCCTTTCTTTGAGTAATCTTCAACTTCAACAGTTCTCCAGGCTTCCTGGGGGACAATCAAAGCTTTTCTTTGGATGTTGATTGGTTTTTATTCCATTGTCTGTTAAGATAATCTCAAACTGCTTCGGTAATGTTGAGGTTGGGCAAGCTGCTGTGTGCTGATGATGATTTCAAATTTGGATTTATCACTTTATAGGACATGTTGTCACTTCTTTTCAGTCCAGTACTTGTGGAAAAAAAGCATTCGTCAGGATGGAGCTGATATATGCCAAAATACACAACCGCTGAGACCATTTTCTAATCATGACTTGGAGATACTTTTCATCTGCTGCAGATAATTTTTATCTTGGTCTGCCACTGCTTTTGTCGTCCACTTATCGATTTGCCCGTTTTCTTTAAGGACACACTGCACACCATCCTGAGATATGCCATTTTTTGACTAATGACTCATTAGGAATCACATTGTTGGTGCAAAAATACCATTTTATGCCTCTCAAACTGTGTTATATTTGATAGTTGCTGAAATAGTTATTTGAAATGGGAAAAAAATCTATACTTTTGTGAAGGAAAATGTAAAATACTTTAATACGTTTTCTGTTATGTGCACACAGTTAGGGAGTTAGGGATGATTCCATAGATACATTTCAAGTGGCTTACGGAACAAACTAATACAACACATTGCCCAGAAACTGGTCAATATTGGGTTTGTTACTTGTTACATTTCTTAATGCTGTAACAGTACTTGATTACCCCCACAGAGAAACGAAATTATTACTTAAACTCTGCTGCCAATTACCAGTTCACAGTATAAATCTTTTGCCACACGTGAGTAGAAGTCATCATTCTTTTAGTGTTTAATTATTAACACAAAGTGGACAACACTGAAAACTGGTTCAAAGAGACTTCAAAGTGATCGCCACAGTGATTATACTGTAGAACCACACAGGAAGACACTTTGGCTGCGAGACTGACTGCACACTCAGGTTTAACATCAGTCTGGGTTCTGCACATTGTGTTAGCATGCTATTTGTGGAGATGCTTGCAAAGAGTTGATGTCATGTTAATCATTTGTAGTTACTTCTGTCCTAAACGCACTTTACACTTGACCAATTTACCTTGTTGTTTTGGGCCATTGGAGTATTCCTATCTCCACTTCTCAGAAGTTGTATACACCTCCACCATTGTCCCTCTCCA